GCAATCATTATGATAAGTCTGTTCATTAATGATTAGGGATGCAACGGATCACAGTTGATGCGTGATCCGTACGGATCAGGCCCCAAGATTCGGCACGCATGTATTTCGTGGATTAACTGCTAGGTTTAACCATCATAGAGTGAAAGTGTATCATTTGGACGTGTTTTGTCTTGCCGATTTGCTCCCTTGAGAATCAGACCAAAAAAGTTATGTGCACCCCTGAAATTAGGGGCACTAAAGTGTTGTTGTTATATTTACAATATTGAACAGAAACAGCTTTTCTAGCACAAAGCTAAAAAATAAGCTCATTACAGCACCTGTGATGCGCTGTGAGAGGATATCAGTGAAATCGATGCTGAAACTGCCACCTAAAAGCACATCACATCCTTCCAGCGCCATCCTGCTGGCCATGACAGGTGCATTTCCTCCTATTGACCACCTGTTTCCTGGCAGCTCTCGCGAAGCCTCTACCAGTTCGCTGAAGAGCGTGTCGTTCATCACAAACCTCCTATGGGAAAGAGTGAAAGAAAACTGTCAGCAGAATAACAAACACAGTGCTTACTGTAATAACACTCCTGTTATTCAGCCTCAAGTCAAGCAACTGAGGGGTTTTTGTTCTTTCCATATCACTTTGGATGGAAAAAATAGTATTATGAATAGTTTCTAACAAATTTAATAAGAACATACATTTGTGTAGAAACAAACTCAAAATTCAACAGCCGCCAGTGTATTCATCCTTTACTCTGGATGTATTGACCTCACATGTGTGTTGTTTACTATACATAGGCAGCCATATATAGACAGCTCATATTTTTTGCTCAACAATATCTAGATACTTGACCTTCCAAAAAGAAACAATAAACAGCATTCACAACTTAATTACTTCCATAAAGTGACATTTCTGAGTGAAACGGGATATCCAAAGAGAAAAAAAACATAGGGCAGATCTTGATATAAAATTATTATACGCATAAATTCGGTGCTTCGACCCATCCCCCAACTTAGAAAATTGTATCATTTTTGATTGGCTATTAGGCTAGTTTTTTGGTGGTGGTGGTGGTTGCTGTTGTTGTTGTTGTTTGCGCAGACCTGGCAACCCTGATGCCAGAGGCTTAAAAGCCTCTCTAACTGAAAGGAATGAAAAGAAAACCTCCACTATGATTGATGGTTACTAAAACTAGAGGAGAATTTCACACATCAATCCAAACATATGTCAACCAGAAGCGTCTCCAAACGCTACTGTGCTGCAGGCTTTAGCAGCGCCTCAACATAACTGCAATATTATCTTGAGAGGCCTGTCGTTACGCTCTCGAGTGTGAATTCTCTTGCTGTATTCAGCTTAACCATATTGCCAGCACAACAAAACTAAGAGGGTCTGATCCATTTCAGCTTTAAAAATGTATTGAATTATTAATATTGAACTTATCGTTTTAGTTTTGTGACACTTTGTGGTTTTGTGACGTTAGTTGTTGATAGTTAACTACATCTGTGGCTGTACTTGTGGGGAACTCATGGGACCAGATAGCTTTAATTCCAACTGTTAAACATTAACTGACACAAAGCGGAAGGTTGAATCAAGTAAATCACAACAGACGTGTTCAGTTTTATTGTGTAATCTCTACAGTCCCGAGGGCTTTGTGAACATGCTTGAACGGCTCTCACTTACTCCGAAGCGGCTCCGGGGGAGAAAAAGTAAGCGAAACTCTGCGCCAGCTGCTCCGCATTCTCTATGTAGTCGTGGTGGAGGGGCTGGTCTGTCGCTTTCAAACCGATTTTGTTTAGCAGAGTCACTCCATCGACGATGATATCCACACAGCCGCCAAAACCTGATAAGAGACAGTGAAATCACATGTTAAGTAATATAATATTACAATTATTTAATCTTTGAACCTGACCATCCAACAAAACACACCTAAATCATAGGTCATAGAATATCTGAAAAGAATGGATTAGATGCATTAAGCAAACGTCACTACAGGCTGAAGCTGTTGTTTGTCAGAACGCAACAGACTGATAGAGGCATCGATCACGGATTCAAAAAACAGATAATGACTGTGCAATCCCAGATAGGCTTTGACAATAGAACTGACTGAACATCATCACAATCAACAAAGATTCAATCAAGAGTCTAGAGAAGAACTTTCAAATGCATTGACCGTCGTTTAAACAACAAAATACAATAAATGCATTGCACTGGGTTATCTCAGGTTAATGACTGAAGAATTTTGGTAAGTATAGGCTAAGGCTTAAACCAGTTGTCAAAGTTTTTTTTTTCCCTCGCAAGCACTGCACACGTGTTATTATAGAGACTGTTTTAACCAACAATTTAAAAAAAAAGCAAAGACAAGATGCAAATCAAACATGCAAAACATGAGCGCAGGCCTGATTCTAAGATAGCATTCCTCAGAAGCAAAACAAGCCATATTATCAGATGAAGAAAGATATTATCATCAGAAATCATTCTAATTTGCTTGATCATCAATGTTGGAAACAGTTGTGCTGCTTAATATTTTTTTTTATTACCAGTGATCCTTTTTTCAGGATTCTTTAATGAATAAAAAGTTAAAATAGAACAGCATGCATTTAAAATAGAAATCTTTTGTAACAATAGACTACCATTCAAAAGTTTGGGGTCAGTAATTTTTTTTCTTTCTTTTTTTTTTTGTGAAAGAATTTAACACTTTTATTCAGCGAGGATGTGTTAATTTTTTTTTTAAAGTGATAGTATTGTTAGAAAAGTTTTCTATTTTGAATAAATGCTGTTCTTTTTATTATTTTATTCATCAAAGAATCCTGAAAAAAGCATGAAAAAGTAAGAATCACAGGTGATAAAAAAATATATTAAGGAGCACTGTTTCCAATATTGATAATAAATTAACATATTAGAATTATTTCTGAAGTATCATGTGACACTGAAGACTGGAGTAATGATGCTGAAAATTCAGCTTTCCATCACAGAAACAACTTATATTTAAAGTATATTAAAATAGAAAATTATTATTTTAAATTGTAATAATTATCCACAAAATTACAGGGTTTTTTTCTGTATTTTTGATGCCGGCTCGCTTGTTGAGCATAAGAGAAGTCTTTCAAAAACTTTAAAAATAGTAATGCTTCAAACTTTTGACAAGTACTGTCTATACATATTACATTAAATAGTTATTGATTTAAAAATACAACTTTATTACATAAAAAAAAGCTACTCTCAATTTGAGATTTGCAAATTTGCATGCATATGCATTGCTTAGTTACTTCAAAATATGCCAATCTAACATGAAGCGTAATATTATAGTATTCTTATTACAGGAAATTAATTAAAAGTTTATTTGTTATTTTTATTAAAGTTTATTCTTAAATTTTCAGAGCGATTGCTTAAAAATAAATACATATAAAGCAACGTTCTTATATAAATGACATATTTGACAACTTGCAGAATCTATCCCATGCGTGCATATGACCATTATAATTTGTTGCATGCTGTTAAGTGCACTTAAAAGTCAGTAAGTTACCTATAGCCACTCTCGGTCTGGACACGCCGTCCATGCCCACTTTCCGCTCTGCGCGCAGCAATGAAGACAGAAGCACATCTAGCCTCTCATCCAGAACCGAACCGTCCGGAGATCGGAACCAATACGCCACCAACACCACGGCGAGTGACAAAAACGAGCCATATTTGACACCAGAGCGCAGCTCAATGGCCATTGCAGATGTATGAACACACTGCTGCCTCCCCTCTTTCTTCCTGAGCTTATGTGATGATGAATCAGGGGGCGGATGTTTTTCTGCTATAGAAATAAAAGAGGATAGAATGGCACTTCGCTTGAGTTAGGAGCAAATGATAAACGATCTAAATGACAGTATTTTATATTTTAAATATTTACTCTATGTTTTCAGATCAAAACTTACTAACCTTCTCAGTGTATTTGTCATTTATGTATTAAATAAATTATTATTCAGACCGCCATTGAAGTATCGCGCAGACCGGATGTCACGTGGTGCCTGTTAGTTTTCTCCACGCTGATAGGATAGGACCATAGACTGTAAAAGGGATGGACCAATGATAATAGTTGATGATTATCTGATAATGATTTTTATAATCATTGTATTTACGCAGATTTGCGTTTGTATGTTAGGTCGAAATCCGTAGATTTAATAGATTTAAATGATTGTAATTTATATTGTGTACAATTTCTCCAATGAGGTTTAAAACGTCCTGAGATTTGAATAGGGTTTAATAGGGATTTTGAATGTTTGAGCCGCCTATCGCCCCCTGGAAGAAGCACCTCGTGTATTTGCCGCCATGAGTTACTTTCCCACTGGCTCTAGTAAAGAAACTAAATGTAGTAGTGAGTCATTTCCGATCGTTTTGTTTCAAAATAAAAGTTTAACATCTAATTGATTACTGACCACCACTATATTAAATCCATATCACACATTTAAAGACTCATTAAACAAACAAACATTAAAGATATATGACGAGTTTTTTTTAGTTTGTTCATTTTATTGTTGTTGTATATTTTATAAACAGGCATGGAATTTGATATTTCTCCTCAAAGGGGTTGTTCTTGACTCAGCAAACAGCCTGGCACGAATGTCTCTGGTTTCAGTGTAACTACATCTCATTCATGTGGCAGAGCTATACATAAACAGAGTTAAATATTCACAGACTAACTTGAGTGTTATATTTCTGCATGGATATGCCTACTACAGGATAAGTTGTGCCTGAAATTCTAGTCCTCTGTTGGCTTAAGTTTATTGCAACACTCAGTGCTTAATGTGCCAGTTGTTAATTTGAGTAGACAGACAGATATAGACAGATAGGTAGGCAAACAGATAGATAGATAGATAGATAGATAGATAGATAGATAGATAGATAGATAGATAGATAGATAGATAGATAGATAGATAGATAGATAGATAGATAGATAGATAGATAGATAGATAGATAGATAGATAGATAGATAGATAGATAGATAGATAGATAGATAGATAGGCAAATGTACGCCAGTTATTATCTTCAAACTTTATTATAATTTAAAAACAATCTATTTAAAAAAGAATGCATGGAATAAGTTACTCATTTCATCTTTTTTCTTCTTGATTAAAGGTAAAATACAAAACATAGCAAGGTATAAAAAGAAAGAAGGAAAAAGGTGTATATTACAAAGTGTTAGAATCTCAATACTATATTTTTTTTTACCTGACCAAATACCTTAAACATGAACAAATACAACATCAAAACAAGTCACCTTCATTTTTTTCTTTTTATGTCCCACATCACATGCCATTAATAATTTCCCAATACAAAACAGTAATACTTTTAAAGTAATAAAATGTAATGTTCCTAATATCTGCCATATTTTTTAGCCAACAATTATCTAAAAACATATTAGTCATTTGCATCAAAGTCTGGGACAATGGACATCATAATAACACTGATATGAGATTATCTACAGCAGTAAAAAAAGAAAGAAAAAAAATTATATGCATATTTCAGTCACTAAAGAATAACTAATCATCCTATTGGTAATATTTCATAGTTATGCAAAATCAGTCTTGTTAACAGTCCACAATGGCACCCTGACATCCTTTGAAAGCTTTAATACAGATAGAACTATTATAAAATAAATGTATAATCACTGTTTCATGGAGTAAGAGGATGCAGTCCAATATTCGTGTAGTATTATTTAATTACTATAATTTTGAAGCCAACTACAAATGTTTACACAGGACTACAAAATTGTGGTCACGTCTAAGGTTATATTAAAGAAGATTGAAACTGATTTGTAAACCATGTGCACATTTAAAAAGTAAAATAATTAACAAAAAGAACAAAATATATTATGACACTTAACTTAGATCTTAATCTTAAAAGAGCAGTAAGCCACATTTCACAATAAAATAATACAATAAATTACATTTGTAAAAATACAGTTGGAAAAAAATCTCTTAAATAAACTACACATAAATAATATCATCATCCCACAATAATAAAATCATCTATTCTGCTTTCACTTTTTTAGAGGCAAAGAATCGAAAATGCTGTTTATTGCTCCTGACAGAAAAAAAGGTTAAATGTTCAAAATCGGATGGCTTTTTGCAGCTTTGCTTGCCTTGTCCCCAAACACATTGAAACCATTGATTAAAAAAACCCACACATTTATAAATAGACTGCAGTATTGTTCAAATGACAACAAGTACATGATAAATCAACAGGCATTGCTTTTCTACACTGGACAGCTTTTGAATTAGAGGTACAGACTCTTTAGCACCTAATTCATTTATGTACAGACGGCAGACTGCTTTTAAATCAAGACTTTTCAAAATTCAGCAATATAATCCAATAAAGCGATTATTCAAAAACCACTCAATTATCATATAACCACAGTTGAAATTTCCAATTATTTCGATCCCTTTTCTTAAATATACAGTCTGCAAAAACTGTCCAGACAAGTCTTCCTCCAAATTTCAGTATCGTAGTTTATAGATTAAATGAACTTTTAACTTTTAAATACTTTTAACTAAAAAATATTGTTGCAGCAGGACAAAGATTCTTCATATGACTGCAAAGTGCCTCGACAGTAGTATTCTCATCTTACACAGCTTAACTGCTACACAAAGATTCACACAAGACTAATTAAAAGTAAAACCCTGAAAGCTGTTAAAAGACAAACATCCCACCCTGAAGTTATACTGAGTTTCCTGAATTGAACCACGTTGTCATACGAACCTGTGGTCAAAGACAAACACTAAGTATTAGTAAAAAAAAAAAAAAAGAAACCTGTGAAGCTCTGAAAGCTCCAGAGTCATTTCTCCTCAATGTCCTATTAAAATCTGTTCAAAAACAAAAGGACATTAGGTAAAATGAATGACTTCTGAAGTTAAAGCTTTTATGTGATATCAGTCCATCACAGCGATTATTCAGTAATATCCAGGATGGTATTGTTGACTCCATGGCTTCTGATTCCAGAACTGATGAAGACAAAGAAAAAAGGAATTAAAGAAGGAAGCCTGAATATATTTTTAGGACCACTGATATGTTTTTTGCACATTTTACATTATTTTCAAGACATATTATTTATAAAATGTACATAATATATTATTTACGTTCATACATATGTATTAAGAAATAAAGGGATAGTTCACCCAAAAATGAAAATTCTGTCATTAATTACTCACCTTCATGTCGCTCAAATCCCGTAAGACTTTCGTTCATCTTCAGAACACAAATGAAGATCTTTTTGATGAAATAAGAGTGATTTCTGTCCCTCCATATAAAGCTATGGAACTACCACTTTGACGCTTAAAAAAGTTCATAAAGAGATCGTAAAACTAATCCATAGGAATTGAGGGGTTTAGTCCAAATTTTCTAAAGAAACGAGATCCCTTTATATGATGAACAACCTGAATTTAGGCTTTTATTCACATATTCATTATCATCTTACACAGCAAGAGCTCCCGCAAGAACCAATGAGGTCCATTCTCGTGTTACACAGCACGTTTGAGCTTCCGCAAGAACCAATGAGGTCCATTCTCGTGTTACACAGCACGTTTGAGCTTCCGCAAGAACCAATGAGGTTCATTCTCGTGTTACGCAGCACGTTTGAGCTTCCGCAAGAACCAATGAGGTTCATTCTCGTGTTACACAGCACGTTTGAGCTTCTGCAAGAACCAATGAGGTTCATTCTTGTGTTACACAGCACGTTTGAGCTTCCGCAAGAACCAATGAGGTTCATTCTCGTGTTACGCAGCACGTTTGAGCTTCAGCAAGAACCAATGAGGTTCATTCTTGTGTTACACAGCACGTTTGAGCTTCCGCAAGAACCAATGAGGTTCATTCTCATGTTACACAGCACGTTTGAGCTTCCGCAAGAACCAATGAGGTTCATTCTCGTGTTACGCAGCACGTTTGAGCTTCAGCAAGAACCAATGAGGTTCATTCTTGTGTTACACAGCACGTTTGAGCTTCCGCAAGAACCAATGAGGTCCATTCTCGTGTTACACAGCACGTTTGAGCTTCCGCAAGAACCAATGAGGTCCATTCTCGTGTTACGCAGCACGTTTGAGCTTCCGCAAGAACCAATGAGGTTCATTCTCGTGTTACGCAGCACGTTTGAGCTTCCGCAAGATCCAATGAGGTTCATTCTCGTGTTACACAGCACATTTGAGCTTCAGCAAGAACCAATGAGGTTCATTCTTGTGTTACACAGCACGTTTGAGCTTCCGCAAGAACCAATGAGGTTCATTCTCGTGTTACACAGCACGTTTGAGCTTCCGCAAGAACCAATGAGGTCCATTCTCGTGTTACACAGCACGTTTGAGCTTCCGCAAGAACCAATGAGGTTCATTCTCGTGTTACACAGCACGTTTGAGCTTCCGTAAGAGGTTTGTTCTCGCAGGTTCGGTTGAGCTTCTGTTTATGTTCGCTGATCAGTGTTTATATGTGAATAAAAGACTAAATTCAATCTGTTCATCATGTAAAGTGATCGAGTGTCTTCAGAAAATTTGGACTAAACCGCTCGATTCATATGGATTAGTTTTACAATCTTTTTATGAATTCTTTGAAGCATCAAAGTGGTAGTTGCGTAGATTGTCGATGGAGGGACAGAAATCACTCTTATTTCATCAAAAAGATCTTAATTTGTGTTCCGAAGATCAATGAAAGTCTTACGGGTTGGGAACGACATGAGGGTGAGTAATTAATGACCGAATTTTCATTTTTGGGTAAACTAACCCTCTAAACGAAACAAAAACTAACAAATTGTTAAAAAATATCTCTGATAATAATGCTCCAAAAAAGGCTTGATTTTCTATACCATTTCTTGTTTTAATTTATTTATTTATTTATTAATATTAAAATATTTTTCCAGTAACTCACCCCTTGTTGCCAGCTCTGGTTGAAAGCTTGTGCTTTGTTCATGCTAAAGTTGCCATTTTTAAAACCTCGATTATTTCCTCCTCGACCCCTGAACTTCTGTGAAAACAGCAGATTTGTGATTTCTGGTTCACATTGCGGTGGCATCTTAAGCCGCTTTTCCACTATTGGGCCAAACCGTTCTCTTTGCTTAACTGTTCCATTCCGTGCCGATCTGGCCCAGTCGGTACGGATATGGTTTCATTTTCCACTGTGGTGGAAATAACGGAGCTCATTGGAATGTAAAATACAAATGCATCAGTCAGTGCCCAGGTAATGCAAAAGTTTCCAGACGATATGAGATGTAAATAGCGACCATGTTATGGAGGATGATCAGATATTTCGGTAAAACCTTAGAATACTGTTTCATCGTTAATGAATAACTATGCAGAAACAAGTGATTAATACACTATAAACATTTGAGTAATCACATTTTACTAACAAGAAACTCTGATTAATGAATTAGTAATAGCGCTCAGTTGAATGAGGTAGTTCACTAATCAGTAACTACTATTATTTTCATACGTCCCAGAGGAGGTAGAAGAACTACTATCTACAGGTTCATAAGTGAATAATGCAAAATGAGTAATTAATTCTAAAGTGAAGGTCATGATAACCCACTAGTAATGACTCAGGTGTTATCAAATCCTTAAGAAGGAATATAATTATTTGTATGAGTATTCTAAAGTGAAAAGCATGGTAACTCCCTAATATTGACTGAAATCATTGTAAGCTTCTGAGGTTTTTGTAAGGTTGAAGTGCCAAGAATTCCAGGTCAGTTTGTAATCGTGCCGTGCCATACCAGGCTTAAGTGGAAATACAACTGGAACAGTTCCTTACCATTCTCAGAATCATTCGTCCCGACAGTGGAAAAGCGGCTTTAGTTTTAAATTGACCTACTTTTCATTTATTAGCTGCCTATTTTCATTCATTAGCTGGCCATTAGCTGCCTACATTTTAATTTACAACAAAAAAATGATCTACATCATCAATGATTTCTCACCTGGTTGAAGTTTCCTCGATTGGCCCCTCCCCCTCGTCCCATGTTGCCCCTGTGCATGGCTCCTCCCCTGTTGCCCATGTTGACCATATCTCCCCGCCCATGTCCTGGCCTGGGGGCACCACCCCTGTTAGGCATCCCACCACCACCACCGCGGTTAAAACCACCCCGATTGAAGCCGCCTCTGAAGGCAGGGGGAGGAAGGAAGCCTCTCGGTGGTCTGCTGAACCCCCCACGGGGTCCAGGCACTGTCAAACAATCCGAAAAGAAAAGTGTTATTTCCTGCTCAATATTCCAAAGTATGTCACATTATGGAGGTGCTGCTTCATGGTATCTTTAAAGTTGTTCTATACGAATAAGTTTATATAAGAAATAAAAACAAACATTTAGCACAACTGAAATGGCGTACCACCCCTAAAGTTGCCTCGGTGTTGAAAGCCTCCTCGTCCTCCCCTCTGACCCTGTCCTCCGCCACGGTTGAACAGATTTTTGCCTCCTCGTCCTCGGATGCCTCCCCTCTTAAGCTGTACACCTCCCTGATTGGGTTTCTTCTCAGGAGGAAGGGAATTTTTGCTCTCCTCCTTGTACTGTTCAAGAAGTTTGGACGCTTCTTCCTTCTGCAGCTCGACATAAACCACTTCGGTGAAGCACTCACCTTCCACAGGCAGCGTGTATATTCCTGGAAAAGATTATAGTGTTTCATCTTGTGAGTTTTGTCAGTTGCACAACAGTGTTTTTACTGTTAAAGGCACAGTATATACGTTTCACCGCTAGAGGTCGCATATTCAAAACAATAACAAAGGCGTAGGTTGATGACGCTGTGAAGGAGCGTGGAATGATGGGAGTTGTCGTCTTCACCTCCACTGCTGATGGAAATCAATCCGACGGGACTCACAAATCATTTTCATGGATGAGGTAATGAAATAAAGTTTTATAACCATTATGTTTGATCACATGATCTAATTTCATTCTAAAGAACATAATGTTGAGCAAGTAACAATGTTTAATGCTAAATCACTACTCGTACATAGGGCACTCGTACATAATGATATGACGCAGCGCCTGAAAATAGGCTACCTTCCGTCAACACAACGAAACTATTTTCAGGCGCTGCGTCATATCATTACGCCTGCTGCACTCATGGTACGGCAGTGAAGTTTCTTGATTATTACGCAGGAATGAGAGTATAGTTCCTAGCCATATCAGCCTAGAAAATCGCAACTTTACATTTTCCGTCGGTCTTAGTGCACGATGTAACTACAGAAGAGTCAAGTTTTAAATAGGAAAAATATCGAAACTCTTTGGTCATTTTTTTTTTAGAAATGCTAATGGTCTTGTCCACTTCAATGATGTATGCTAAGCTATTCTAAAAGTGGTACCGCCAGAACCGGAGATCGGCTGAATGGATTCAAAAACGGTAAAACTCAACAGTTTAACTCTGGGGGAGTTGTAAAATGAGCCTATTTCCAAAAAAAGTGGAGTATCCCTTTAAGAGCAGAAAGTTGCTCCGTCTTTGACTGCAAGAAGAACTGGAGCACGTCACAAATGAACCGAAACTCTGTGTATAGGCTACTTGCCTCACAGACATGAGAAATAGGCATATAGAAAGTTTGAAATGTCTATTTTTAAACTAACCAATTTGAATTGAAAACAAATTCTCTCTGGTTATGTTTTCTCATAACCAATTGGTTCTCTAATTGGTATCGAAAAAAATTATCGTTCAGGAACTGGTATCGAAGTCAAGGTATCGGTTATTTGCAATAAACAAAGGACAGTTGACGGGCCAGTGCTGCATTGTCACGAAAGTTTAAGCCTTGCCAATTTAAATATTCAAGCTCAAGACGCAAAAGGGAACTCAATTCGTTAATCACATCCGAAGCGTGCGCCTAGAAATCCGCGTCTCAGCACTCAAAAACTGAATTGAGCTCTCTTTCACGCCTTCTTGCTCTTGAACAGACACATTCAAACAAAATTATGTCAAAATGCATGTCTTGTCAAGTATCCTTAGTCACTTTTATCTTAAGTGAACAAATCAGTATATTGGATCCGTATATTGGATCCGTGCATTAGCTCAAATTGACAAAGTGACAGCAGCCTAATATTCCTGCCGCTCTCTGTATATTTAATTTTAATCAAACAACAAAAGACAAAGAACAATAACTCATTGCTCTTGACTGAATAACTTTTGTAACTTTATTAAGGATTAATCTGCTTTTCATGGCTAGTAAAAAAAAATATTTTTTGATAAATTTTCTTAAGTCACTGGCAATTGGCAGGTGTGGCATAAAGTTAGTTTTTATATGAAAAACAAAGCAAATAAAAAAATTGACTAAAACTGAAATTTAAATAAAAATATGAAAATAAAAGCTAATACAAAATATAAGTAATAAAACACAGGGATCTTGTTTGAGAAAAGGATCTTACCCTTCATTTTTAGGACTGCGTGTTCAGGTACATCTTTGCCATCTGTTTCTGCCTTTTTCTGAGTCCTCTGTATATATTCCTCATCTGTTGGACAGACTACCACAGCTTTACGCTGGAACCCGGCAAACAGGCACATTTTCCTTCTTTGGGCTGGTGCCGATACGTTAGTCTAAATGGAGACATTTAAGATTTTGTATTTTCAGCAGATGATATAATAACCATTTTGATTATTTGTGACGTATTTGTAAACTCCACGTCACCTGGTCAAGAATGTAGTTGCGTTTTTTACGTGCAGCGATCTCGATGAATTTTCCGAGGAAAAGAGGAGCACGCTGAGATATTGCTGAGAGCTTTGTGACATCTTTCAGCTGTCGTTTCAAACTGGAAATCTGAATTTCAACATCAAAATAACATCATTATGTTGTTAAAAATATCTATAAAAAAATGTTTGATAACACTTTACAATGAGGTCCCATTCATCAACATTTGTTAATGCATTAGTTAACATGAACTAACAATGGGCAATATATTTTTACTGCATTTTATAATCTTTGTTAATGTTAGTTGATGAACAAACAATAAATCTTTATTGTTTATGTAAGTTCACGGTTAACTAATGTTAACAGAAACAACTTTTGATTTTAAAAATGTATCAGTGAATGTTAAAATTAACATTCACTGAGATGAACAAATGATGTAGAAGTACGGTATTGTTCATTATTCGTTCATGTTTACTAGTGTAGTAAACTAATGTAAACAAATGGAACCTTATTATGTTACCAAAATCAACACTCACCATCATCTTCTCTATGATGGTGTTTGTCCCAAGAATGTTGTATTTTCCAGGGTTGGCTTCTGTGTGCTTTGTTACCCATTCAGTTTTTCCAGATCCAGGCAGTCCGACCATGACAATGACCTGTGAAGATTTACAGCAGATTTCAATGATGAATTTTAATGATGTTATAGAAGAAAAATGTAATGGCTAAGAAACCAACCTCACAGTCTTCTTTGGTCTCGGGCCCCTTTGGTCCTCTGATGCGATCGCAAACAGGGATCTGCTGCAGGAGAGTAAAGCCGTCAGGTTGGGGGAAGTACGGTGTTTCACGCTGGCCAAAGTTGAACTCAACCGCACAGTTGTGGCAGAGGATGTGAGGGAAGAGCGGCTTCCCCTCAAACTCATCCTTGCTGACTTTAAAAGCTGTTCCCAGATCCTGTCCATTCTTGGAGAAGGAAATTTCCACTTCTTCCCCATCAAAATTCTGCCAAATAAACACAAGCAATCATTATATATTATGGCCATAAGCACACATATACAACACACCCACACTTGCTGAACATTTCATGTCAAAATCTTGAGAACTAAACATGTTTTAAATTGGAAAATATATATTATTCAGAAATCATTCTAATACGCTGATTTGCTCCACTAATATTGTGAAATATTATTACAATTTAAAATAACTGTTTTCTATTGTTATATATTTTAAAATGTAAATTATTCATGTGTTGGAAAAGCTGAATTTTTTACATCATTACTCCAGTCTTCAGTGTCACATGATCCTTCAGAAATCATTCTAATATGCTGATTTGGTGCTCAAGAAACATATGTTATTATTATCAATGAAAACAATTGAAAACAGTTGTGCTTATTCATTTTTTTGTGTGTGTGGAAACTGATGAATGTTTTTTTCAGAATTCTTTGATCAATAGAAAGTTCAAAAGAACAGCATATATTTCTAAAATAGAAACCTTTTGTAAAAATTCTAAATGTCTTTACTATTACTTTAAATTATTTTGAATGCATCCTTGCTGAAAAAAAGTATTCATTTAAAAAAAAAATCTAATTGATCCCAAACTCTTAAAGTCCTCATGAAATCAAAATTGATCCTATTTACTTTGTTAGTGCACATTACTAGTCGTGTGGTGAACAATTACTCCAAGCGAATTAATATGCAGACAACTTTTTTGTCATGCTAATCTTTAATCAAAATTAGAAAATTTGCTTCAATATTGGAATGGCATTCCTTTTCTGATGACATCAGTTTGATGACTCGGGTAGAATATCCTTAACCACTCCCCTCCAACCGTCAGTCTGCTATGAGTGAGGGCTGGAGAGGGGCTGCGCTAAAGTAAAACTCTGCCCTCTATTCAATATTTAGTTTCACTTGGAAATACGTCACAACACTGAAGAAAAATCAGTTGCTACTTCCGGTTCACGGAGAGTAGTGTATGAATACGGTGCTACTTAGTGGTCAAGAATAGTAATTGCACAGTGGTTAAACACTCATTCTTGATAAGCACACGGATACTTACAATAAAGCATCCGACAACATCATTTTCATCAAATGCCTCCCCAAAGTCCTCTGTCACACCGTTGCAGGTTTTCTTGGCCTTAGTTGAAAAGGCGTATGAGTGTGCTTCCTCCCCTGTGAATATGTAAGGTAAAGGGACACTCAAACTACATCATGGGCCCTATTTTAACGATCTGAAACGCAAGTGTCAAAGCGCAAAGCTCAAGTAACTTTGTGGGCGGATCCCGGCGCTGTTGCTATTTTCCCGGCGGGATAAATGCCTCTTGCGCCTGGCGCAAATCTAAAAGGGGTTGGTCTGAAGTAGCTTCATTATTCATAGGTGTGGTTTGGGCGTAACGTGAAATAAACCAATCAGAGCGTCATCTCACATTCCCTTTAAGAGCAGGCGCGCTTGTTCTAAAGCGGATTCCTATTATAACGGCGGATTTGCCAGGCGCGCGCCAGGAGCGGTTCACAGCCGAGGAGAGCAACGTTCTCGTCAGGGCCGTAAAACACAGAGAAGTGACATTGGGGATGGAGAAACCCACCCAAATTAACTTCTGTTAAACAGGCGTATGATAATTTGGGTAAATGTGTAAGCTACATGTATGCTTTTATAATAATTTGTCTATCTATCTATCTATATATCTATCTATCTATCGTAATAATGTATGATTTGCAAAAATGAAAACTGCTGCTTAGATGAGAGAATCAAAGTGTATGCGCGTTGTGCACACGCTACATTGATTATGGCCAAGCATGCGCCCTTAAAATAGCATAATGAACAACGCCCAACGCGCCACTGACTTTAGACTAGTTTTTTTCTGGTCAGTGGCGCAATTGTTTTATAGAACAGCAAAATAGCATGAGGGAAAGTTTGCGCCGGAACACGCCTCCTCTTTGCGCTGAACCGCCCCGGGGAGCGCAAGTGTATTTCTTAGTTAACCGACGTGTGTCTGTGGAGGGAAAAGTCCGCTTTGCGCGGGTGCAAAATAGGAATGATACATGCGTCAGTGCACAAAGTCATTTGCGCCGAGTGCAAGATAGGGCCCCATGAGTTTAATAGTCTAATATATTCCAATGTAAGAAGTCAACACAAAGACCCTCACCTAGCAGAAGAGAGCTGTTTGCCAGTGACCAACCCACCAGGACATCATGAATCTCAGTTCCTTTACTGGAAATGTGTTTTACAGGTATCTTCTCGATAATCTGGTGCGAAGACATGCAAAAGTAAGGCTAAGGTCACGAAAGGACAACTATAAATAGTAAACATGAGGTTAAGACAGTGTTCTCACCTTCATTTCAAAGCAAGCCTTGCCCTTTGCCACACCATAAGACGCTCGCCCCCCTGCCCAAAGATAGGCAAAGCTCTCCATGGTGAGAGAGGAGGCGCTATACCGATCCCGAGACACCTTGAAGTGCAGGTCACAGTTGTCTGAGGAAAATAAGAGGTGGACAACTGACTTTGTATCACTAAACTATTACACTATTACACTGCATGTTGCTCGATGAAATATTCAGTACTTTTTAATTAAATTCAGTATGTATTTGAGCAGTTTTCGTGAGCTCTTTATACTTACAGGTGTCCAAACATACAGTCGTGTCATCAAACTCTTCATCCTCTTCCTCCAGAGGAGGCTGGGGAGACTTCGCCCTGAGGGAAATTCAATAAAATTCGATAAAAGTCAGAGTGATTATAAGATCCCATTGAACTTCCTTTGGATTTTAAATATGTTCCAAGAAAATCTGCAAGTATAAAACATGTTAATGCTGTTAAATTAATAAATTGTTAAATTTAGCACATGAATGCTGTTAGAATAGTTTTTGAAAATAAACAATTAAATGAAACATTAGTAGTTTTTTAGAAAATGGGATCACAAATTAGGTGAGTTTGCACAAACATAAATAAATAAATAAATCTGCTCGGACTATATTTAACAGGTAAAACACTTTGAATTTCTTAACCTATATTTTGAAAATAATTTTGAAAATGTTTCTTATTTATTTTTTTGTTTTAATGAATATATAAGTGATGTCAAAAATGTGTGTATATGTGTTATATATACAGTATATAGATAGATACACACACATATATTATGTAAACAAAAACTTTTATGTTAGATGTGATTATCGCAATTAATCAATTTGAAAGCACTAATATATATATAATTGATAATATACAGTGGTTGCGTACAGTTCCTTGGAAAAGAAAATACCATCACATCGTATAAATTAAATGAAATGGCATAAACATGAACACATACGAAATTATACATATGATAAGGAAGAATACACAATATACATCTGATCACTAATGATAATTTCTAAAGATAACATCCGATACGGATTACAAAAATATGAATAGAATAGTTTATTTCCTGGACATGCATCAATACCCCATATAGAATATTTTCATTTCTTTTAACAGCCCAAGCTCTGACCTACACAAAAACAAGATTCCTAAGGAGAAAAAAAATACCACAGAGATGCCCTTATTATAGGCTGAAAATAATTTCAAAATGGTCAGTAAAAATGTGTGTTTCTTTGCACTGATGAGGAACAGCATGTCAGATTTGGCTCTTTACTGCCAAAACTGCTCATAAAGGTGCAGCGGTACCTCAGGAGTACCAGAGGCCGACTGCACATTTCTTACCGGCTGTATTTGCTTTCTTCAATAAATTCAAAGTAGCCCCTTCCATGTTCATCTCGGCGTCTCTTTACACCCTTCTTATTCTTCTGTTCATCATTCTTGTCTTTGTCCGCATCCCCTTTGGAAATAAAACAATAAATTGTAAGGAGGCTTACCTCCCTGCTGGACCCATCATGAGGTAACATGATGGTCCAAATAATTACTGAAGGATTTATAGTTACTTCGGTTATGCATGAATTGCAATGACCAGTATTTTAAAAGAAAGGTGTATTTAATTATAAGTTCACATGTTTAAAGGAGCGATAGCGGTACACCGCAGTACTTAAATGGGTAAAGACAGGAGGTTGTTACCAAAACAACTGCAGTCTGTGCAATTTTGAGCTAAGTAACACACATTTTCAGATTCACATTTCATGCACCTTGAAGAAAAGTGTTACAGTGTGTGCAAAATTTGAAGGCATATTTAGTGATACTAATGGGCAAAACGCACAAGCACTTCTTTGCCTCTGTGTGCAACTTGTGCTTGACAAAACAAAAATTTAAAAATGAAAAACAGGAATATGCAAACAACCAATCATCATTAAGAAATCCATTGTTTTTGATGCAAAGGACAACTAGTATTTTATAAAACATCAATATCAAAAATTCCATTAACAAAAGAACGACTCTCATAGATGCCCTTTTTTTGGTAACCCAAGGGTTATTAATGCTGCCTTCACATGTTATCGTAAATTTCCTACTTCCCACTTCATAAGTTGTCTTTGTTGTCGGAAACAACAGGAATCAAGGAAGTTTATTCTTGCCTATTTATTGGGAAAATCATATTAAAGCCAAAATGATATTTAGCGTCCCATTCATTGACCACCAAATAAACATTCACAGCAATATCTAGATAGTCAGCTTGCTGACGATTCTGGAGTTTATTTCAAATACAGGCTTTCGTGTGTATAAAACACACAATATGCTTTAAATGATTATTCATATATATGTAAATATGCACTTTAACAACAAGACCAGGCAATGTTGCTGTTGTGAAAAAAAACTGGTATTTATGATAATTCTGATAGCATGTAAATGCAGCATAAGTACAGACCCCTAAACCTGGGGTGTAAACTCAGTTCCTGGAACGCCACAGCCCTGCAGAGTTTAGGAGCCATTTACACGACACCGGTTTAAACTGAAAAAAAAAAGTAAATTTTTTTGGCAGTTCATTTACACTACAATGGCGTTCCGGGGGCCTGAAAACGCAAACTTTTGAAAACGATAGCGTTATTTTCTCTGCGTAAACTACAAAAACGCGTTTGGCACGAGTGCCCTGTAAAAGAATGCGTACAGTATGTGCCCAGTCTTTTCTTTACAAAGTGACATCGCCATCTACTGGCCTGGCATGCATAACAGCGTTTTTAGTCGTTTTCGTGGATCCGTGTGAAAGGGGTTCATTTTGATAATGTCGTCATCTGTACAAAGAAAAAGCGTTTCCGTTTTTAGTACATCGTTGTCGTGTAAACATACCCTTAGTTCCAAACCTGCTTTAACCCACTGTAGTTTTCAAATAAGCCTGAAGGACTTCATTTGCCGGATCAGGTGCGTTTAATTAGGGTTGAAGCTAAAGTCTGCAGTTTTGCACCCCTGCCATAACCCCACAGTACCCCAAGGGGGGAGAAAGCATTTACTAAATCAGTGATTCCCAACCCTGTCCCGGAGTAAGACAAGACATGTTCCTGGATTAACATATTTTGTTCCTGTCTGAAAATGTTGTCCTAACCCTATCCCAACCCCTACCCTTAAACATAACCTTACCCATAAGTTATCCCTAAAATCAGAGGGAAATGATAGATGAATAACACTGATGTAGAAGCACCTTACCCTGGTTGTAAGCCTAAATTTGAAATAAACTGTAAACTTGTTCCTCAAATCTGATTGGTTGATTGGAACAAAGATGCTGATCCAGAAACACGTTTTACTTGGTGAAATCAAGTTCAACGTCCTGGGCTGGGCTGTGTCCGAAATCGCCCCCATTACCTTAAATAGGGCACTATTAAGGGAACAGCCATTTGTAGTGGTGTCCGAAACCACAGTGAACGTTATCGAGTGCACTCATGCAATCCCATAAAGCACCGTAATAATGAGTGTACAACCGCCTGACCAGAAGATGGCACCGCAGCTGAATCATCCATCCATCCATTTTCCAAACTGCTGGTTGTTTCCAAATGATTCTAAGTTTCAAATGATTATTAAACAGAATGGACAAACTATGCAAAAGACTAAAACTATGCAGCCCTTCTGGATTCACTCACCCATTTTCATTCACTCCCTCAAGTGAACTATAATAGTGGGCTAATGTAGGGAATAGTGAATGAGGGTATAGGGGGCGATTTCGGACACAGAGTCAGCACAACTCAGCACATTTTCATGTCTCCCTAATCGAACACACATGATTCAACTCATCAGCTCATTAGCAGAGACTTCAAGATGTGAAATGGCTGTGTAAGATAAGAGAGACATCCTAAATGTGTACTGTTGGGTCTGAGTGTAGTCCAGTCAAGGACCAGGGTTAGGAAGCACTGTGCGAAATGAAGACAAAGAATAACAGTGTCCTAAATGAATGAGGTCCCAGTCCTCACTACTCCAGGGCAGGCAGAGTAAAACAAATGAACCGAGATCATTACGGACAGACTCCATCTGGAGCTTTTGTCCTTCAATATCTCCACTTCAGCATCCTGTTACAGCTCACCGATCCCGAGAGCTACTGCTCAACCAATAAAAACCAACGGACAGACACTATTAAAAGGTCATTCTCAGGAAACGGTCCTGTTTAAGCCCAAACATTTCATTTGATTTGATTCGAATTAGGTTACTGCTGAACTGAAAAAAAATCTTTTGTGCAAACCATGACAAAACAGAACTAGTATCTTCTGAATCAGCAGATTCCCTTGTTTAATTTGATATGTAGACAAGCTTGTCATCTATTAAAAACTAGAAGTATTATAGCTGACCATAAATATAGGCCTAGTGTATTTAAATAAAAAATACATTACTTGGTGATACATTTAAAAAATAAATTAAATAAATGTAAAAGAAAAAAGAAAAAAAGATTAGTTTTTTTTTTCTTTTGTCTTATGCATTACACACTAAATGGAGTTAAATCTATTAGTATTCTGTGTCAGTAGTAAGTCAAAGGGACACAAATGGGACACCAGTGGTAGCATCTCATAAAATCCTGTATGCGCTCTGCTGCCAGAATGAATTATCCTGGCATCACACAACCCAAATATGCATATAAAAATATGAATTGCACAAGCTTCATCGAGTAACCTCACCCTCGCCAGGGCCCATGTCGAGAGCCACATCATCCTCATCAAATTTCTCAATTTCTTCATCATCTTCTTTGAGCAGGACATCTTCATCTTCATCTGATTTATCCATCTCTACCCCGGCATCCTCCTCCTCCTCCTCCTCCTCCATGTCATCATCCTGCTGTTCCTCAGCCTCCGCGTTCTCTCCATCCTCATCCTCCTCGTCAGCATCCATGCTCTCTCCAGCCAGATCTTCGTCAAGGTCTTGATCGCCCATGAAGCTGAGTCCTTCAGAGCCGTTGGTGTCGGCGGACAGCGCCTCCTGATCCAGAGCGGCCTGCAGCCGGGACATCAGCTCAGCCTTTAGCCCTTTATCAGACAGACTCCTCTTCTTCAGCTCGTCCTTCAGCTCGTTCACTTTCAGCTTCTTCACGTCCATTGCGCTCATCTTACCGCTTCGATCCTTTATTTTTTAGACGTTATACCCCAGATGTGTGAAATATGAATGGGGAAGAGCAGGTTATGTGCGGACTGTCCAGAGACGCTCGATGCGGCCGGTCCCTCGGTCACTGATGGGCAGCAGCAGTCGGAGCCGAACGGGGCCAGTTCAGCTTTATATAATCTACCGTAATGCACACAATAGAGGAGAAGATACCGTAAATATCACTATATAGGGCTATTGTGAATGATAGAATAAACTGCAAATTATTAGAATATTATTCTAATATTATTAGAAAAGTAGTAAATATTAGGATATAATATCAGTATTCAGTTAATTGCAGTCACTTTTCACATAAACAAATAAATAAATCTGAATATAGTACCAATAAGGCTAGACCGTTTTATAGTTTAAAATAGTAACATAATATTAACCCCTTCAGACCTGAATTATGTTTCAAGTGTCTGAAAAATATAAAAGTAGCTACATTTTCCCAGCTCATGAGGCTTCTATAAATGAGACCAAAAAAAAAAAAAAAAAAAATGTTGGCTTTAATTGTAATTTTTTAATTGTAATCTTTAATTGTAAACATTTCAATGGACGTCAGGTCAAAACAGGTGTCCTTCCCAAAAATGTACCAACATGAAATAAATGAATAAACATAAAAATTGTTCGTCTATACTTTAAGCTTTTTCTCAAGGTCAAAAACTTTTCAGCAGTAGGCTATATACCATTTCAACTTTAATTTTGAGGTTTTTGTTTTACAGACTGCACATTGTTTGTAACAAACTAAATATCTTTGAATCAATCAATAGGCTATGGTCATATTAGAATCATTTTCTGTGTGCATCTCTTTTTTTATTTTAGATCAAAAACTTGAACATTATAACATTTCAACTTTAATTGTAAGGTGTTTGCTTTATAGATCGCACATTTGTTTATTCATAACAAAATAAACCTAGGATGCATTCACCAATCAATGCATTCACGTTAAAGTCATTTCCTGTGTGCATCTTTGAAACAATTTCTCTGTTAATGGTTTTCTTGTATTTTTACAGTACATTACTGGCAGCACGGTTGCCAGCAAGTTCGAGTAACTAGTGTAATTCACTTTACAGTACACAAGATCAGTACTGTAAACTACAAAATAGTACTTTACTGTATTTTTTGTGTATTTCGTAATTTGGTCTGCTTCTGCTGTAATTAATTATACGGTATTGTACTGTAATATCTATATTGACACATTACTGCTAAATATTATTGTAGTTTTCAAAATAATTACTAATAATGATAATATTATATTATAAAAATATATTATGTAGTTATTAGGAAAATTTGGGAATTTATTCAAGGATAGCCTCTTGAGATGCAACATCTCATTTTCAAGAGGGTCCTATTAAAATATATAGTAGGAAAAAAATACTATGGAAGTCAATGGCTACTGTCAACTGCTTGTTACCGACATTCTTTAAAATATCTTATTTTGTGTTCAGCAGAATAAAGAAACTCATACAGTTTTGGAACAACATGAGGGTGAGTAAGTGATGACAAATATAATTTTTGGGTGAACTATACCTTTAAAGGGTTAGTTCACCCAAAAATTAAAATTAGCCCATGATTTAATCACTCTCAAGCCAGGTGTATACATTCTTCTTTCAGACGAATACAATCGGAGTTATATTAAAAAAATGTACTGGCTCTTCCAAGCTTTATAATGGCTGTGAATGGTTGTTTCTGTTTAGAAAGTCCATAAAAGTGCATCTGTCCATGATAAAAGTGCTCCACACGGCTCTGGGAGGTTAATAAAGGCCTTCTGAAGCGAAGCGATGCGTTTGTGTAAGAAGAATATTCATATTCAAGTTGCGCTTTAGATTTAAGTCAAATCCGTATGTTCGTTTGGCTGGAAGCTATTTTACTTTATAAAGTTTTAAAATCTTCCTCATCACTCCACATAAAGTCAACATCTGAGATATTTCCATCAGCTATATTTTCAAGCACTTCAAGAACTGTATACTCTGCATATGAAAAAGTTTCAAAAATGTATCGGTACTGTGATATAGATTTCTTTATAAGAAATTTCAATCAGCATTACTGGACAAGTGATTTCAGTAACAGGCTTTTGAACCCACTTCTAATGGACAGACACATTTGAAAAAATCCTGATTTAAAACTTGCAATTCTACAATCGTTTTTAAACTTTAATTTATAAGTTCAATCTTTCTATTTTACATACAAACTATGAAATACTGACAAAAATACATATAAAAAATTAAAATGTAAATAAAAACCTTAGAAAATGTTGCTAGCTTCTGTGTTTGGAGTGAAGTGCTGCCATGCTTCTCTTCAATGTAGTGTTTTTTTTTAAAAAATAATTACTACATGCAGAGCTTTATTACCATTTGATTGGATGACAAACGTCCAATCTCATTGACAGCAGAAGTAAAAAATAAAATAAAAAAATAAATAAAAAAGGGCTGACGTGTGATGTCTATTGTAGATTGTAATAGACGCAGGGTCCGAATGGGTTAAATATTACTAATTTATTATTGTAGTATCATTTTATTATTCAACGCCACACGAGCTATTAAAAGAGCTATACTAGCTTAGCCTATATAGTATATCAACATTTAATATCAGCAATTACTTTTTGTTATTGTTGTTTTTATTTCGTTTTTCCTTAAAGGCTACCTATACACAAGTTTATGAGCCGTTTCCGCTCTACATCCTAAACTCCTCCCGTCGATGCAACCCACTTCCGTTCTGGCGGTCTGGGTTTGTTTTGCTAGCTAGCTTCGACAAAGCGCTGATATCGCAGTGACATAACAATTACAACATGAAGAAAGGTGGTTCGGGAACGATGTGTGTGATAGTTGGTTGTAAACACTCGAGAAAGCACCTGAACGAGTGGTTAGATAGAGAGTTCTACGACCGCAAACCAGCTACGAAGAGGTCCATGCGCTCCATTGTTTACACACAAACACACTCACACAGTATCGCGCCCGCGCCTCTCTCTCACACACAGTTCGATCGCCTAATTATTATCATCATGGCTCACACACACACACACACACACACACACACACACTTTGCACTCTAGCTAAGAAGCCTATGATATAGTTCGGATCGTCAGGAGGACATTCACTGACAGCGCGTTCTCTTTTGTCTTGTCGCGCATGAGTGGTTAAAGCATTTGCGTGAATAAGAGAATGGTCATAACCCTAGCAAAAGGATGACAGAAAGAACAGATGTTGCGTTTGCATTAAATATTTTAACACGTTAAAGCTGGACAAAAATGAATCGGGAAAATATTTTTCTCACGGCCGCACGCCGGAGATCCGGCACGGTGGCGAAAAGTGATTGCATTATTTATTGCAATAAGTAGAGGCTTCAATCGTTTTGTTGTAAGTAGAATAGGCTACTGCATTTTAAGGGGTTAGTTTCGACATTTAAAGGTATTTTAACCGGTAAAATGGTTGGTTGGTACACAGCAGGTAAAACAATGCAGAGTCATAAGGATAATTGCAAAAGAGATCATGTCTTTATTTATAGCTCAGCAGTAAGTCATGTTATAGGTTACAGTCCGTTTTCCAAATACAAACACGTATTCCATCCGCAACAACATGCTTCTTTTATTTCCTATAATCATGTAAATGTCTTCCCTGATTAAGCTATAAACTGCAAACACTTATTTAGCCACAATTGTTGTTATTATGTTAAAAGAAACATTAAAGTAACACACAGATACATTTGCTATTACCACGGACATAAACTGATAGTTATTTGCACGTTATGTCTGTTTTATCTAGCTGTGTATGACATGACACAACCGACTTTGTTGCTGTGCAGATATTGATATGCCTCGACGGCTTTCAGATTGTCCAATTGCTTTTCCATCTATTGCCATGGATTGCACGAAGTAGGAGCAAATCTCGCTGTACGTTATGCTGGGCCACGTCGTCATGTTAGTGTTCTGCACTGAATTCGGGTGGGGGATAGTGACGCCATCTCCAGTCGTGGAACCGTCGCTGTGTACACCGGCAGACGCTGTGTGCAAACCTCTTCCGGCGGAAATGAAGTGCATTTAAGTAGAGTTATGGCGGCGCCCATGATTTGGCGCGTAAACTTGTGTATAGCCTTTATGATACATTTTTAATTATGAAAATATTGCGCTTTTTGCATAAATATAAAAAAGTAAAAAGAAAAAACAGAGTAAAAAAAGTAATTGCCTCTGCCAAATGGAAATGATTTAAATGGCAATTATTGATTATTTTTAGTTTTCTATGTCTAATTGGTTTGGTGTTGTGACTGTATGGCATTATTCTAACATTTTAAAAGTTTAATGTGACTAATAAGAATCAGATCCCAGGTATTTCTGATGTATTAAGCATTTTTTTAACTGTCACAGAGAAATGTATTATTCTACTATCACTTTATTATTCAATGCCACAAAAGCACATAAAAGATAGTAGGCTTGTATATCAATATTTATATCAATATTGGCAGAGAACAGAACACCATCTGCGATTACATTTTTCCCGTTTCCCCCCCTAAACGTTAGAAAAACACCAAAATCACTGATCTATATAGAGTGACCAAAATGAGTAATGACTTGAGTGACGTCTCGGGTAAGCTAGTGTTCACGTTACCTAGCAACCAGTGTTTGGGACATGGTCAGACTACAAAAATATGGCTGACAAATACAACGCAGGTAACAATGTTATAGATTCAAAATGCAAAACTTTTTTCTCTTTCGGGCTTACGATTTACCTAGTAGCATTTGTACTCTTGCGTGTTGTTTGTAGCTCACTTCAGTCACTTGGCATTACAATTGTCATCCCGTTTGTGCAAAGTTTCGAATATATAACGTTAGCTAGCTAACGCGTAACGTTAACGTTAGCAAAGTAAAAGACCCGGTTGTTAATAGACCGCACAATCTTGTCCAGTTGCTAGCAGTGGGAAATACAGTAAATGAATACTACAGAAGTAACTAGGATGTCTACTCCATTGTTTCGTCATATTTGCTGAAACATAATTTCCCTTTGTCAGAAACTATTATAACAGAAACTCAAAAGAGGATACGTAATGCATTTGACGTGTTTGACCATGAATCCAACAAGACTGTTGATGTCAGGTAACGTTAACATTTTAAGGTTTTAAAATGTCAATTTCCTTACTTCCTATTACACTTTAGAGGTTTAAGTTACTAAGTTTAAATTCAAATGATCAAATGACTTGTTTAACACTGCTATTTTTAACTTTAAAAAAGAGAAATAGGCACTATTATCCGCTCACTGGGCTGTTTTCCATCAGAAGCTGAATTGCATGATGTCATTGCTGAGGTCAGTGGCTTGTTTTTATAGTGCTAGACATAGGTTAATTTAGATATTGACTCTTGCAAGCTGAGTAGATTCGTAGTTATGATTTGTGACTTCTTCCACAGCTAGAAGAAGAAGAGCCCACTGGGTTTGTACGCTATGAGAAGTTTCTTCCAACTATGACCAAGATCATGCTGGAGCGCAAGTAAGACACTGAGAGTGAAGGATCAGTTATAATCATCTTGAGCTTTCTGCAGAATTACAAATAAGTTAGTTAAAATAAACTTTTTAAAGAACGGCTATTTATTTGGCTTTACTCTCTTACATGAAAATTAAAATATGTAATGTCATAATTATAATGTTTTGAGTGTTTACTTATTGTAGGCCTAATTGTTGCATTAGGCTATGAATTTATATACATTTATTGATGTAGAGGCCAAGCCCAAACTTTAAGCCCCTGAGGTGCTTTCCCGGGGTTGAGTAATTGACGCACCTTTACCTTGTTAGATTAATGAAAGTCCAAGTCGTATTTGCTGTTAAAACCATGGGTTCGGTTTATTTCCATCATATCGCCATATCCAGACAAACTTCATTGCACATGTATTTGACTTTGTACTGGCATCGGCGTGTGCGTGTGCATATGTGTATGTGGTCAAAAACTGTCTGTGCTTCCGGGTAACATCTAAGGAACCAAAGATTGATTCCTATTTAAACTAAGAGCGCTAATTGGCTCTTACAATTGATAAGAACTATTTCATGTCTTTTCATTTTACAGTAGCATGAACCAGGAGTAGTAACTCGAGTATTGTTTTGATCAGAAATCAGTAGTCATGCAACCCCATTTTACCTCTGCTTCCTCTTTGTTGCAGGTTCCGTCCTATTCCAGAAGACCTGCTCCTCCAGGCATTTGAGGTATCTCATGCTCTGACACTTTAACATTTTGTTATTGTTGTTTAAATCCACCTTGGTTACACTGCAGAAAAAAAAAACATACAGTGAAATTCTCAGCAATTCTATGGAAGCTTGTTTCCACCACTTAATAAAAAAAGGTAATTGCGACTTTTTATCTCACAATTCTAGTTTATCCCACAATTTTCGAGTTTACGTCACGCAATTAAAAAAAGCGAGAATTGCATGGTCTAAACTCGCAATTATTACTTTTTTTTATCAGAATTGCGTGAAATGAAGCCGCAATTGCGTGTTATAATGTCAGAATTGTGAGATATGAAGTCAGTCTTTTTCCCCCTCCGAATTGGACTTTATTACTCGCAATTGCGAGTTTATATCTCACAACTGTGAGAAAAAAAGTCAGAAGTGTGAGATATAAACTCAAATTTGCAAGAAAAAAAGTCAGAATTGTGAGATAAAAAGTTGCAATTGTGAGGAAAACAAGATAAAAAAGTAGCAATTGTCTTTTTACATTTGTTTTTATTCTGTGGTGGAAATTTAAATTATTTAAAGGAATGGTGCTGTTTTCTCTTTTTAAAGGTTTTAGATCAACAGAAAAAAGGACACTTGGAACCAGAGGAACTGACCAAATATTTAACACAAGAAGGTATAGTATGTCCAATGAGACTATTCAAAATAGTGGTTTGGGATTTTAGGATAGGCTGCTGATATTTTGAAATCAATGTGCAATGTCACAATTGAACAATTGTAAGATGTGTCCCAATTCAGAGGCTGCATCTTTCAAAGGCTTCATACTGCATTCGAAAAAGAAGGAGGATCCTTCGTGGCACAGTCTATCCCAAGATTCATTGCGCGCCGGTGACGACTGGATTTTTTTTTTTGATAAAGAGAGAGAGAAAATGCTGAAGTTTTTGGTTTCAATTTGCTCGAATATCTAATGATACAAATTTAAAACAAACAAACTGACTATAAAGCGGTTCAAATGTTGACATACTGTATCTTACTAAGATGCGATTTTATAGATCGTTTGTACCCTTTATTATGTACATAAATGGACCAAGTAGATTTAGACAGGTTCTGAACCCTGTTTTGTTTTTAGACAGTTTATTTTTTTTATAAATCCAGTATAAATGTTACTGCCGCTCATCAATGGCAGCTGTTACAGTTGCTAGGCCTTCTGTCGGAGCCGTAGCCTTGTGGACAACAGCGCTTCGGGCGACCCGAGTTCTGGTCCCGGTTCCTGGTCCTTTCTCCTCCCCTATCGCTTCCTGTCTTTCCTTGTCCAATAAAGGTAAACATGCCCAATAATCTAACTTAATTAAACAGTTGCTAGGCCTTCGAAGGATGCAGCCTCTGAATTGGGACACAGCTAAGGAAGCCACAACACAAGGAAGTTTTCAGTTAACAAAATTAATTCTTTCTGTTTTGAAGGAGAGCCCTTCACACAAGAAGAGATGGATGAAATGCTGTCTGCGGCTGTTGATCCTGATAAAAATATAATTCTCTACAAGGACTTTGTGAGCACGATGACCTGTGATGACTCTCGATGATGGCTGACGGAGCGAATAATTCAAATAAATGAGACTTTAGAGAGTTATAATCAAGGTATCATAAGCAAAATCTTCTCAGTTACCATTTTAAATAACGTTCACTATTAGGAAAAATGGTTCTAAACAGTACCAAATCAGGGTTCTTCTGGTTGTAACAAAAGTAGAACCCTTTAAAAAAAAAAAAAGATTCCATAAAGAACCATGCTTTGAAAGTGCTAAATAGGACCTTAATGATGGTGTAATGAATAACCTTTTTAATAATAGTTTATTTTCATTGATATTAAATATTATTGATAATATTTTAAAATCTTTTTATTTATGTAATGAAGACCAAGCTCCAGGGAAATATCTTCACAATCCTCTATGATGTCTTTACGTCCATCATTATGTGTGTATTTTGAGTGGCAGTTTCTCTCTGCAGACGATGGGGACAGCATCTGAAATACACAATTGAGTTTAGAGTTAGAGTGTGTCTCTTCCAGTTGTTTATGTGAAAACAATTATGTTTATGAAGGCCAAAATTTGTTTATTTTTTGTGACGGTATATGTTTATGCATAAAGTAATAATAAATAAAAAAATCTAACAAACAATTCAATATCGCTGTTACTTAGTGGAGAAGAGGAGATAAGTATCCTTAGCAGAACAGAGCTGGTCACACTTACATGTTCTGTTAAACTAAAAAGAGAAAAAGACATGATTGGTAGGAAACAAGTTACAAATTGAAAGTTGAAATGTATAGACATTTAAAAAAAGAATTAATTTACCTGTTGAGAGTGTGTTGACAGTCTAAGCAATTGAATGGCTGAGCTCCAGAAAATCAGCAGTGAGGTGGTGGCTTTGACAGTTACAGATTTGAAAAACATAAAGGCGAATAACGAATAAAGAAAATTCTTTAAAACAAATAAAGAACCCTAAACTCTAACAAAAAGAACCACTTCTGCATATAGGGTTCTTAGACGATACGGTTCTACTATGTTACTACTTTTTAGTGTACTGTAAAAATTAGTTTGATTAGTCTTGCAATGTAAAATATATTTATAATATAAAAAATTATAATATATTTATTTATAACTACATACCATTTAAAACAGGGCTTTGTGTTGATCAGGAATAAAGTATATATATATATATATATATATATATATAAAAGAGAGATAAGCTACTATTCTTCTTTTAAATGGCTTACTCTAATACTCGATTTAGAGGGTGACAAAGCAGCAGACCCAAAAGGACATCCATGGCAAAAAAGCAGGTGAAAGAACTACATATAAGCCAAATGTGAGCTAAATTATGACACTGTTGTCTTCAGTTCATTCAGTAGCAAACAATACAAGGTACAATCTCCATAGTTGAGTTTCCATAATTGATTCTGCTATTTTCCTGTTCATCACTGTGAAGCTGCTTTGACACAATCTGTATTGTATAAAGCGCTATATAAATAAAAGTAACTTGATTTGACTTGATATAAGGCAATTGAAGACCCCAAAAAGCATATGACTTCAAAATGCATTGAAATGTCTCAAAAAAACAGTATAAAAAATCAGATGGCTCCCAAACTCATTGGAGGGTCTCACTGTCAGATGGCAGTGACTCATGAATAATTATTTCAGAATGTCTCAGAAAGGAGTCAGGCAGCCGCAGTAACTTCAAAAGGACCTTGATGACCAGATGACCTGTTTTAATTTCATTTTCTAACTTCAGTTACAAGTGAAAATGTGACAAATCCAGTCATTTTTTTCCCGCTAAAGCGCTGTCATGCGCTTAGCAGTCTTTAGATGTAATGGCGTTTACATTTACCGTATCCTAACTGCGTGAATTTAATCAGATTTGTCTTTGTTATCTTTACTAAAATAAAAATAGCTTAGCCTTATCTGGGTCCATAGGTCCATATGGGTCCATAGTTTTAAACAATACTCTGATGTAGAATTGAACCGGTTTTCTAGTACACTTACTTGTCATTTAAAAACGGATTGGTCAAAAATATTATTTATTATTTATAATATTATTTATTTTCTTTTTAGTTATTGCAAGTGCACTTTTAATGTGTGAGATCCCTGTTTCTTTTTTTTTTCACTAAAAGGTAGTTTTTATAAACTCATTTTTTATAATTTGTTCAAATATTAAGAATGCATAACTTTTGTCTTTTGCACTTTTTTTGTTTGTTTCAAAGACAAAAGAAAATGAAAAAGACCTCATTCAAACATAAACTTGTCTTATGTTTTTTTTTTATTGTGTCCAATTGTGACAAAATGTCCTTTGGTGTGACAAACAGAAAAGAAATAAGTTACAATAGTACATAGATTACTGAGAAAAATGTTTAGTAAAACAATTCGCCTTTGGCTGGTTGCAGGGGGGTGTGGGTTTTTTTCCCTTCCCAAAACCGAAGTCAAATCCTGACAAGTGTCGTCTAGCACAAGCTGCTAATAAAAACAACGTTATACTCGCGTAGTCCGTTTGCTTTGTAATAACGATTATAGAAGTGAACAGAGACGTACCCAGCTTTGCATGAACAGTGTTGCTCCTTGATATTGTTAGTCCCAGCCTCCGTCTCGATTAGTAGGATATGCGAAGGTTCATTTTTTTACTGTGACCGGTATGCTTTTGCCTCTATTTGGATGCCTTGTTGTTCCTTGCGTTTTACCTGTATGTCGTGAATATAGCCTTCGAACGTATATTGCAGCCGCTTTTGCCTACTTCTATCCGACACTTTATTTGCTGCTTTATAAAAGTTTGTTAAAATGTCAGCAGGAAGAGCTGTCACAGCATAAGCCATGTTGATACCAGAGCCCAGACGTCGGACGTAGCAACAGTATCTAAGGGGTTCGGGGCTTAGCCAAAGGCGAATTGAGTATTATAAAAGTCAAATTTTATAAATAACCTCATGTTTTGTTAAAATGTCTCTACATTTTACATCAAGAGAAATTATACTGCATTTTTAAACCTTTTGTTGTTTTTGACATAATCAGGACAAATAAATAATTATTCGTAATATTTACATCTTTGTCTTAAAGATTTTACATTATAAATAGATTTAAAGGAATAAAACCTGTTATTTGATATCATGTTCTCTCCATTACTCGATGATACGTGAGCGAGCAGCATCTGGTGGTTTCATCACAATGAGGTACAAATTCAAAAGGCACTTCCTCTAAATCAATTCTGTTAAAACACTTCTAAAAGTTTCTCACTTTTACTTACCTGCATAAGTTGCTTTGGGTTATAGTCTCTAAAATGATGAAATGTAAACATTAATTTCAGATCTTTTTATTTCAGATACGGCTCTAGCTTGGGCCTCTGCAGGAACATCTGTGGAGGTAACGACACCGTTGGGATGCCTATAGCAGGATTGATGGGAGCACTGGCACTGAGGAGGCAGAGACTGACAGGACTGGAGCATCCATAGTGGAAACCTCCAGCTGTAGCATCAAGGTGGTCGAGAAGGGAGCTCTGACATTGTGGAGGTGGGGACACAACTCTGTCATCTGGACAGCTGTGGCAGGAACCTCAGGAATGGAGTGGCCATGATGGGAAAAACAAAAGGTGCAACCAAAAGAAGGTACTTTATATACAGTATGTACATTTCCCTCCGGGAGCAGTACCGCCAGACGCAAATACTGCTCCCTCAAACCAAGGTGCAAGACGCTACGCTACACAAGGCTTGCTCACCCCGCAAGATGCAAAGGTGAGAGGAGGGATGGAAGCGTCTCCCATTGCAGCCCGCAAGACGCTAAGCTACACGAGAGATGCCAACTGGAGTGGCCTTATGCAACGACCTGAAAAAGAGAACAGATTTGACTCGGCAAATTCTTCCTATGGGAAAATAAACTTTTTTTTTTTAGCCGATCTTAGGTTCACTACCTTAAACCAGTTGTGGGACAGGATTAGCCCAAGACTAAGTCGCCGACTTGGTTTTTCCCGCAAGAGAGCCCTGAGCAGACGACAGCATTCTGTGCAGGAAGACGGGAGGGATGTCTGATTATTACCTTAAACTTTACATCTACTCTATTTGATCATGTTAAGATGTTTTCTATGATTGTGAATGATTAATTCTAGATCTCACCTCTTGACAGGCCGGGTTTAGACCAGAGCTTCCGTTTCAGCAGTAACAGGTCATAGTCACTAGGGAAACGTTCACACAACATCACAAACATCAGAACCCCTAGTGACCATGCTGTCGCCTGCCTGCCATAGTACATCCCCCTGACATGAAACTCTGGAGGGGAGTACGCTGCTGTGCCTGGAGGAAAGAGGTTTTGTTTGATGGGTATGTTTGCATTACTGCATAACTCATCACTGGAGTAAAAGTGCCAAACTGACAATGCATACCAGAGTATGACCTGTACGCCGAACTCCTCAGCATGTCCCCACATCCGAAGTCAATCAGCTTTACTTCGGATGTCTCGCTGTTTATAAGCAGGTTATCCAGTTTTACGTCACGGTGGAGAACTCCTCGAAGGCAGCACACGTTCGCAGCGTGAACCGCCTGCCTCATGATATGCCGTGCCTTCTCTTCATCGAGTCTTCCACCGTGACGCCTCATGAACTGTGCCAGACTCTCACAGGGAGAGGGACATTCGAGGACCATAACAAAGTGGTCAGGGTGGTCCTGCCAGTCCAGCAGCCTAATGATCTCTGGCACGCTGGGACCTTTATTCGCCAGGAGGGTGAGGGCGATCTCTTTTGGAAGGGGGTTTGGATGATCAGGCTAGAATACAAACCGTTTTTATCATCATTAGATGGAGGTAGTTTCCCAAGTAGGGATTTGTCATTAAATGTGTCTGTGATTGAAGGAAATATGAGATGTTTTATATTGTTTATGCAGTGTAATGTACTTACAATTGATAAACATTTCGTGTTCTTGGTCTTCGTGACATATTTCAAAGCCACCTAATGAACAAAGAAATGAAAAGATACACTAAGAGGACTTTGAGTAAAATAAGGCAATAAGATAATGTGATAATGTGTTATTTATTTTGACTTACTTTAAGATCATCATCCAAACGTCTTCCTTCGTACACCACACCAAAACCACCTTTCCCCAGCTGATCACTAACACTGTAGCGGCTGAAGATGTAGTCTATTAAAATATCAAATATCATAAAATGTCACAGAAGTGAGAGGAGTGTCTTGTGACATTTGAAATTTTATTCATTATTATTCATCTTAATTAATTGATAGACTATCTTGAATATTTAGAGTTTTAACATTAGTATATAGACATAGAATGTTTTTAACATGTCATGGAATAAAGATCTCATCATGGCCTCGATGTGGATTTTGGTTTAATATGTGATGTGTATTTGATATTGTGTGTGATAGTGTTGATTGTATTAGTTTTTACATGGTCAAAGAGATCTAGTCATTTATATTCTCATAAGATAGTCGTGTTGTTTACCATCACTACTTCTTCCTGCCCATGCTACCTTCCTCTTCTCTCCCTCATCCTTCTGCTGCTTCACCTCTCCCTGACCTGAGCTGCTCTCTGGAGGCTGTTTTTTGGCAGCTCTGAAGAAAGAGGGCAGCCTCCACCACTTCTTCCTCTTTCTACTCTCCTTCCTCTCCTCCTTCTCGCCTCCTCCTCCTCCTCCACTTTCTTTTCCTTCTCTCTCCATCAACCTCATCAACTCCTCCTCAACTTCCTCCTCCTCTCCTCCTTTCTCCATCACCCTCCTCTTTTGGCTGTTTCCCTCACCAGCATCAACAGGGGTCTCATCGCGAGGATGAGGATGTTGAACCGCCGTGTTGATGCTGGGTTTTGGGGGTGTACTCAGATGTTGATCGCACACCTCGCCAATCATCGGACTCACTTTACAACCTCGCTGTCCCATCGCTGTGTAAAAGCACCGTCACTCTCGACCACTACAACAAAACCCACAAAGTGTGAAAGAATGTCTTGAGATTATAACGCGCTCTGTGATGTCATGGGACACATGCGCTCTCTGTGACGTCTTGGGACACACACACAGCGGCTTGTGAGCGTCTCAAATGCTGTATTAATGATTCCCGTTCAGCCTCATCAATAAAATGTAGTATTGAAAATGTATGATTTAAAAATAAAACATGGATAGATTACAAAACATATTTTGCAGAATAGATATATCATTTTTTATAAAAAATATAGTCAAGATGATGTTACAGTCAAGATTATTTTTATTTTTTTTTGCTGAATGGAACCTTTTATTATTAATAGAAGTGGCTGCTTTTAATATTGTGTCTGTTTTAAAATGAAAGCAATAAATATATATAATTTAAAAGACTAATGAATTGGCATATGATTAGTTTTGGTAACTTGTTATCTAACTAACGCAGTGACATTCCTACATGTGGCCAAACTTCTGTAGCCGTCGGTGTATTTGACACGTTGTTAGTTGCTCCAGTAGAGGGCGTCTATTTAACATGTAATATGTTCAGATTTGTATTTCATCGTATCTTTGGTTTTTCTGTGAAAGGATTATTGGTGTAAATCTCTTCTTTATCATATTAAAATGATTTTACTGTGTGAGTGAAATCGTGGCAGTGCCCTTTACAGTCAACTCTTTGTAAACTGTTCATTCAAACCCACATGCAAATGCACACTCAAAAATCACTCTCATTATACAATTATAATATATTTATTTATTATAACTATATACCATTTAAAACAGGCTTGCATAAAAACTGGCCTTTGTGTTGATCAGGAATAAAGAATAGGCCTACATATAAAGAAGAGAGATAAGCTACTATTCTTCTTTTTAATGGCTAGGCTACTCGATTTATAGGGTGACAAAGCAGACCCAAAAGGACAGCATGGCAAAAGAAGCAGGTGACCGACTACATATAAGCAAAATTTCAGATAAATTCTGACACTATTGTCTTTTAGAGCTGCTGAATAGTTTCCATAATTGATTCTGCTATTTTCCTGTTCATCACTGTGAAGCTGCTTTGACACAATCTGTATTGTATAAAGCGCTATATAAATAAAAGTAACTTGATTTGACTTGATAGGCCTATAAGGCAATTGAAGACCCACAAAAAGCACATGACTTCAAAAACGGCTTAAATGACCTGTTTAATTATTTATCTTCAGTTACAAGTGAAAATGTCACAAATGATGAGCAATGGTGCTAACTGCAAAAAACTGTTTTTGCAAATGAGTTTCAAATGCTTAAAAGAATGTCATGCAGATCATTTTGGCTTATTTTCCACATTTCTGGTCACAACATAATTAGTTTTGATGCCATGAGGCAGTTTTGATGACTTTGTAAAAATGATAAAATGTTAAAAATAGTAGTGTACAACGGTGCACCTTAAAGGCAGGGTAGGTGATTGTTTTGTTATGCTGGTTTAAAGTCTCTTCTTCACATCCCGATCGCAATCACTAAATTAAGTGGTCTACATTTATTTATACATTTATATCGTCTGTGGAAGGCATAGGGCCATAAAATGTTCCTCCAATTCACACCGCAGTTTTTGTGAAGGGATGACATATTCTTGCAGAGCAGTATCATTTTATTAAAAATTAATGGTCATTTACTTATTTCTTACAGTTAGTTAGTCTCTTACGAAGCAGTGTGTTGTAGGAGTGGAGGTTCAGAAATTTTTTTAGATGTGTGAGCAGTAGGTGGTGCTACTTACCCGTGCTTACAAAATGTCCCTTCAAATTCTTGCTGAACTGAGAAAACAACTAACTCAATACTGGCCATTTATTTTTCATATTTTTCAAAACAATTAAGAAACACAAATACTGAAAAATGGTTTGCAAAATGTTTGTTCTTGGTTTCATAATAAACTTCAGTATTTCAAATGACATGTTTGCAAGTAATTGAAGATTTTACAATAATTGACCTGGCACACTTTTTAATATTTTCATTTAGCCTACTACTACACTGTAAAAAAAAAACACCTTGGGTGTTTAAGTCTTAAAAAATGAGTTGATTCTTGTATTACATAAAAAAGTTGAACATTGCTTAACTTATTTTGATGAGTTAAAGCAATGTAAAAACATATGTTTGTCATAATAACTTATTGATAATTTTTACAATGTAATTATAGCCTACTCTTTTTAGACAATAATATTATACTAATTTGTACTGATGTACGAACTATTTTTTTTAAAAATATATTGTTAATAGTGTGCCCTAAAGCAGTTTTTTTTGTCATTCATTGTATTGATTGCATCTGCATTAATATGTTCGAGACTATAAAAGTCTCGAACCACCATTACAGAGTATGTTTTTTTGTGTGTTTTTTTTTGCACATAAGTTTACATACGTTTCTAAAGCGTTTTCAAACTGCGTTTTTAAATAACCACAGAAGTTAGATTAGGCTACAAGTCATGATGCGGTAAATATGTCCACGCGCAATGCGCGTTCACCTGATGAAGTAACCATGACAACTGTTCGCTGCTTGGGCACTTTCTGTTAAGATCGGTATGGTCATCCATCAACAAAAACACAAGTGTTGTCATTATTTATTCATGTCTAAAATAAATGTCCACGTATGAACCACAAAAATATAGTTCGTGTTTAGTTTAATAAAAACAATTGTTGCGCGTGCAGAACAGCGCTGCTTAGAATTTCTTTTAAATTTTTTTTTTTTAAAACGACCCCCTAAAAGTAATTCAGTAATAAAACTAAAATAGACTCCATAATGAAAATTTCCCTCAAATCAGTCGATTTAGTTGCAGTTTAGTTTCGCGTGTGGAAAACAATACACACCCACATGTCAGTCATTAGATCTCGGACACGCTATTCGCTGAGGGGCGCGGAGGGGGCGTGGCCAGTCTACCCAGAGACAGATGTGTGCGCTCCTCTGGAGTGAGAGCAGTGCAGAGATCAGTCCTCAAACAGAGCCTGATCTACTGATCTACAGCCTGCGCCTCACACAAGTCCATGTGCATGGGAAAATGCGCCTGTGCGGGGATGCTCTGAAATCTAACCCACTGCACATGGATTCAGAATATCAGAAAGCATAAAGAAAGAACTGGATTTATCCACTGTTGGACGTTTCAGATTGGACCATCTGTTATTCATATTCCACTGTGGAAGATGGATAGATGTCTGCATGGTACTAGTCGATGAGACTGGACTTCAGAAGGGCTGCTGAACTGACCAGAGATTGATTTTTGGATCTTTTGGTTGTGGAAGTAACAGGGAGCACAGTTTGGCTATTCCATCAGTCCCTCTGCCGGCTTAATCATGACCTCTCTAACAGGGAATAAAGACAGATCCGGGACCAGGAGTAGAAAACATGGGGTAAGATGTAGGCTATTATCATCATCATTATTATTTATTATTAGACTTGTTTATGTATTAGTATGAGCACATTCTTGGCAATAAATTATCTTCAAATGTGGAAAAGCAGCAACAACAAACTAATTGTAATGTCAAAGTCAATATGCAAATTATTTAACCACTTTTAACATTTCTCATGTATGTAATCCAGACAATAATGTTTCAATCATTGCTTTTCATTATTCTATCATTTCTTGCAGATGACCGATTCATCCCCTACGAAGTCAGCATCATTCTCTCCTGAAACCTGGTACCGAAAGGCTTATGAGGAGTCCCGGAGCGCCAGCCGTCCGGTGCCTGAAGGCGCCGGATCCATGCCCGGGTCCTCTGGAACCCCTTCCCCCGGATCAGGAATATCGTCCCCGGGCTCTTTCTCCGGTTCACCTGTTACTGTATCTCCTGGAATCAGTACCGGTTCGCCCGGTTCCTTAGGTGGATCTCCAGGGTTCGGCACTGGTTCTCCAGCCTCGGGTAGCGGGAGCTCACCTGGTTCTGAACGGGGGATCTGGTGCGAGAACTGCAACGCTCGGCTGGTGGAGCTGAAGAGGCAGGCATTAAAACTACTAATTCCCGGACCCTACTCTAGCAAGGTAGGCTGACAGATACCAAATCATTTCAGAATATTCCGAAATCAATTTTTGACTTGTAATGCATCATGCAGATACAGATGAAATCAGCCTATCAATGCTGACGTGTGATAGTCCTATATAACTCAGTTGTTGCAGTGCGTAATTTTGGACATAGCCTCTCAAATATCTTGGATAAGCTAAGTATGCGCAGAAACCAAAACTTAAGATTTAAAGCGTGCTTCTTCTATTAGAATAACATTTTTGTCTTGTATTACAATTGATCGATTTGTTACCTTGTCATATGTTATAAAATATATAAAGAGAGTGTGTTTAAGTGTTGCACATGACATGAGGGGTGGCGTGAGACACTGCAGTGTGTTTTGCAGATCCACTATATTGCAGCGCGAGTCTGAGATCATGATCAGCTTGGCCAAAGGGGTGTATTTTATTGCTGACTAACAGTCTTTTTGAATTACGAAGACTGTAAAGTGAAACAGATTAAAGAAACACGTCATACCATGATGTGGCTTTAGTGGAGAGCATGAGCGCTGAAAGAAGCGCATTTATGATTAACTATCCATAGCTTTGGACACCTAAGTTAGTACTGCAGCAGCACTAGGTGTGGATTCCACAATAGTTTAAATCATAAGAACAGAGTATACGTAAATATGCAGTGCGTAATTGGATGCATGCATGTGTGCGTAATATCAAGTTTTGACGTGTGCTCGATCAGCAGCACGGTTTATTTTCAGCAACTAATACCGGGATCTGTGTATAAACAGACCAGATGTATGATTTACACCAATAAATAAATAAAAAGTGTAGAGACAACCCCTACCTTTTTATGTTATTGATCAGTGGTTTTGTTTGCGTCCAATGGAAACTAAAGCAGAGTTGGTCCAATAATTATCCATTAAGAACAGGGGGCGCTGTGCTGTCACAAACAATTTGATATAGAGATTCAGTAACAGCATATTATACCTTGTTATCACTTTTGAGTTGTGCACATTAATTTATATATAGAGAGATGGATGGATAGACGATCTATCTATCCATATATCCCCATCTCAAATATTTGGTAGTGTTAAGAACTACATGATCACAGTTGCAATGCTTTCAGTTTAAGCTACAAACATATGGCATCCATTATGTTCATCATTTCGATAATTGCACCGATTATCCTTTCAAGAAAAAAAACTGTCCCTCACTAGTCCAAAACATCACATCTGTATTCACATCTCCTCATCATGCACTGTCTAAGTTGATGTCACACCTAATATAATTGCCATAATCTCTAAAAGTAGCATTTTGCTGTTTTTAAAGAGCACCATTGATCTGGTGTGGCCGCGGCTCGTGTTTCAGACCTGCTGTTGGTCTCCAGATTTTATGGCCAGTTCTGCCAGCTGCAAGTGACCTGGAGGTGCCCATTAAAATAAGCTGGAGGAGGAGGGGGCTGATGGGAAGGATTGGGGAATCATGGGAGAGCAGGGTGGCCATGAGCATGCTCTTTAAGCCAGAGGCCATTTTTAAGGAGACATGACTGAGTGTTTGGGATTTTCTCTGTAGGATCTTCTCCCACATGGTGATTAGTGTTGAGACATGAACTGAAGGGTAGAGCCTCATTGTGATATATGATCCTTCTGGACAACTTACAATACGCTGCGTTCCATTGCATTCTGGAAGTAATAATGTCTAATTTTTTCCTACAAAAAAAAGTGCAATAGCACAAAGGGAGGTGATAAAAATGGACTTTTCAGCAAATATAGTCTCACTTTCAGACTAACGGCAGAAGGTCTGGAATAAATAGCAGCTTTCATTGAATCTAAAGCAACCAATCACAGTTCGTTTTGTTCAGCGTCATGTTTAGGGTTAGTGTAAAGTCGACGTCACTACGATAATCAAATCATTCAAGAATAAAGTGCAGGTTTACTGCAACACTGGTGCTGTGACCTTCACATACTTTTGAAAATCCAGCGTTTAGTTGATCCCGATAAGCGCTCATTGTCACAGTGCTAAACATGACAGCTTTCTTCTTCCATGAGGGGGTTTGACATCACGACGGCTTTGTTTCCACGTGGACCGTTAAAGAATGCGACACACAAGTCTCCCGGAAATCAACCAATCAGATAACGACTTTGAAACGTCTAAAGTGTTTCCCATTTTGTGTGAAATCTGCATCAGACGTCTAGCCAATGGTCTGTTGCCGTGACAATTGAGGCTGAGACTAAAGCAAATAAAACTCAAAGTTCCTCCATTTTTTGATAGTTAAACTGTTTAACAATCGTTCAAGTCAACTGTGTAAAACCTGGTAAATGGTCCTCTGTTGATAATCTTATACATGCAGAATAAATGTTAGCATAACTGCAGCATCTATCATTTGCGATTTGGTTGCTAAAAGATTATTTGTTGACATTTGAACACAAAGCTTACACGTCATCTTCCAAGCGACACACTTTTATGGTCTGAAGTAGGAATATCCCGCATCCAACTGTGAGTAGAACACAGCAGTGGAATGGCATACAGAACTTGTGCTGGGGTTCGTCCCCTGGGGTTCGTCTTTATATTAAACCTGCTGGACTGAAGCATGTTCATTTCATTCATGCATACACAAATCCCGTTTCAAACAGAGCACTGTTGCCACGGTAGCAACATGTTATGAGTGTGCGCTTCTTACATATTTCACATTTAATGCTCTTTTTATGCCTCTCTCAGGTGAGCAAGGCATTATCATATAAAGAGGTCGCTTTTTTCACTACGGACTAATAGGAATAGGAAAGGGTTGCTGACGTTGGCTCAATTCAGCAGCCGCTGTTACTGTAAATGGCACTCCCTCCTGTCTGGTGGCTGGCGCTGTCTCGGGTGTAATGGTGTCACCAGGGCAAATATGAATACAGCTCAGCGATGAGAGAACAGAACATGCATGGCCCTGCTGGATTTGGTGTGTTTATCACAGGTTACTTCTTGTTGGACGTGAATGTGAATAATATTTTGTGGCTTTGCAGATTGTGACCTGATTGCTGCTTAGAACAATGGAGGATTGTTGACAGTCAATCTAAGTAAAAGCTGTTTATAGATTGAGATTTCTTGGATTCTCAACAACATAGTCCGTTAATTTCTATTTTTTACACCTGAATGTCTCACAGCAGGTAATGGTTAGCCTTAAAAACCTGCTCTTTTTGTAGGTATGAAATGTTGAAAGGTTTTATTTTCATACAGAGACCAAGGTGGGCTGCTCTATTACAGCTTAAGGCTTTTGTAGGGCTTTGAATCCTGTGGGTTTTTGCCTCTTTTGAACAAGTATTGGACTTATTTAGCGTTTAAAGTCTTATACCCAGAGGAAAGATGTCTCGGTAACACTTTAGTTTAGGGTCCAATTCTCACTATTAACTAGTTGCTTATTAGCATGCTTATTACTAGGATATTGTCTGTTTATTAGTACTTATAAAGCACATATTAATGCCTTATTCTGCATGACTTTATTCTACATCCCTTGAACTTAACAATTACCTTATACTAACTATTAATAAGCAGTAATTAGGGGTTATTGAGGCAAAAATAATAGTTTGTTAATAGTGAGAATTGAACCCTAATCTAAAGTGTGACCGATTTTTTTTTTATTATAAAATTCTTCCATTAAAAATCGCAAAACAGGAGACATTTATTCACATACAATGAGAGTATAGAGCTATACAATTAATATAGATAGAACAGCTACGATTATTTGGTCTTGGAAGACATTAGTGAGACATGTTTGAGTTTATATTTTGATAGCAGAAAGCACAGTTTGAGATATTATTGAGCTTTCTTCTTAACTCGTTTTTTTTTCTCAGTAGAAGCAAAAATAGTTCTAATCTTATTTAATCTGAGAGACACAACCGAAATATTGAAGAGAATTCAATCGGTTACGCCTGCTGGCGAATGCCAACTTGAAGATGTTGTCGAATATTACAGTGATTTTTGTCAGTGTAATTCAACACTTTCTCAGATCAGTATGATTTCGAACAGCATCAATGACCATAAAACGCTAGTTTTACAGTGTCAAATGCCAGCAGATGTTTAAACCCACTGTAGGTTTGCAGAGTGGGTGGTTTGTTTTTTAGTGAAACCCAAAACTGTATTTCAAGAGTCCGGTCAGGTTGTTGCTGTACCCCGTAATAACTGCAAGCACTTCCTCCAAAGCATGAAGGCCTGTAATCCGGCCCAGAACCAAGTCAGAGAAAACATCATGAACATGGGCAACAATCGATCTCACAGGGATTAGCTGAACCGAGCCGGATCGAAGTTCTCCATGATCAAAGCAGAACTGCCTTGAAGGAGGATATACCGGCTGGTTCTGCAGATCTGTGATGTTAAGGCATGCAGCGATCAGCGGTGCTAGTTCACATTAGTCACTCGTGGCTTTATCACTGTGTGAAAACAGTATGAAAGATTTCGACAGAATTGTGTAATGTACCTCAGGAGACTGGATAGTTTGATGTGTTGAATGTGTAGGGTTCAGTCCGCAGCTGCAGTTCTGAGGATTGTGTGCTCACCGGGAAAGTATTGCAAGTATGTACACAGTTATCTTAACTGTTATCCAGTAAATCTCACTAGATACCTTTGAAGACTAATTTGCAATGCCAGGGTTAAAATGCATTTTGTGTTTGTTTAGTGGCATTTTAAACCTTGAATTTCCATTTATTTTTCAAAGCTTTTTGCATACAGTTATTTACTATGACATTTCTGACTAAATGCCATGTAATGTCCTTTGTGCTCTGTTGACTGATGAAAACTTAATATGAGAAGAAAAGTTCCTAAAGACTCCTAAAGATAAAATTGGAACAGCAAACTATTTATTGGACATAAGTAAGGCAGTGTTTGCCAAACCGGGGTTCGAATCATATCATGTTACCAAAACGAGATCAGAGAACTGTGAATATGTGTAAAAATCTCAAGTAAATCATTTAATCCAAAGGGGTTTGGATGACAAAAAAGTTTGGGAATCCATCTTTGTAAGTGTTGTATCAACCTGAAGGGTTGAA